GTGATCCCTGCACTTTCAATTAAGTGCAGCAATTTTTATCCCCCCTCCTAATGACCAAATCTTTTAATCTTTCCTTAAATTGCAAAGCAATGTAACACAGCCAGTGAGGTCACTTACCTAATTAGAATGAATCTTCTAACCAAGTTTGTCAGATCAGAATTTTGATGGCAGGATTTGAATTTTTACCAGAAAAGGAAGGTCTCTGCAGATTTCACACTGATCTTTGACAACTCTGAGAACTCTCCCATTCACCCTCTCCTTCCTCCTCCTCCACAAGATTAAACCACAAATATTGGGGTTATATCTGCATTTGGGGGAGTATCAGTGGCCAGCTGAAAGTACTAAAGATATGAGGCTAAATAATGTCAGGAGGGCACAGCAGTAGTACAGGCAAATAGATTATCTAAGTAGGATGTATTATGCAGCTGAATCAGGAGGCTTATGGTGGAAATCATGCAGTAATAAACCCCATTTAATGAGCCAGAATTAATACAGGGTAATGTACACATGCACAGCATAATGGGATCTTGTAGATATTAAAACAAAAAATTAACAATTGTTGTGATTCCTAGAAATAGAATTAACTTCCCATAGACTTTTTTATAGCACAAAGGAAATAATCAAGTACTTAAATTACTGACAACTTGGTATGAAGGCCCACATAAAGAGTTGTTGCTTTGAAACAAAACCATGCAAAAATACTTTTAAATCTTGGGTACTTTACATTTATCAATAAATATTTTATGAAGTTTTACCAGAGAAGTTATTTAAACATTGGATAAGCCCAAATAATTAGTCTGGAGCACATATCATGAATAAACAGATTACTTGGGGGAAAAAAAAAGACTAAAAATGCCAGGCTTGCCTAAGACACAAAATGAGGACCCAAGATGAGGCACTGAAATGGCATTAGCCTTGATTAAGGTTACTGCCTAAAACTCATTGTCAACACAGGATCTTTCAATGCATTACGCTTAGTCCTGTTCTTATAGTTCATCTGAATGGAATTTTAATGGACTTTAAAAACACACGTTAATAATTACATGGAAAAAGAAAGTGTCAGAATAAGATATAAGTTCTTCACATGGTAATTTTCTCTTCATTTCCTTCTCCCCTCTGTAGTGGCTTTATTCCATTAAAGAAGGCCTTGTCCATAACTGTCACGCTCTGTACAACAACTGAGGCAGAGTTTTTTGGGTCACTCAGCTTTGACCATCTTGGATCTTGTTTTGCATGAAGGCTGGGCTCTGACAGGTTGACATGATTGCTGCTGCCTTTTCTTCTGCCTCTTTTGAGCTTCTCTGCACGAGACACAGCTTGGAGCCCCCGCCCTGGTAGCAGCAGTCTGACACAGCCCATCCTGTTAGAGCCCAATCACCCTCCCTGCCAGGCTGAGGGGAGCAGTGAAGGCATGGATTTGGCAGCATCTGCTCAGGGGAATGGAAGAAAAACCATCTAGGGACCTGTTCCTTCTCTTCCAACACTCCTGGGTGCTCTTCTGCTACCCCAGGGCCTGTGGCTCTTCAGCCTGGCTGGAGAACTGGTTCCTCTCAGTGCCTTAGAGTGCAAAGGGGTAACTTTGTAGAGGCACACAAAGCTCAGCTTGAACTGCATTCCAAACCTGCCCAGCAAGCCCCAAGCACGACGTGGTGCTCAGTGCTTTGTGTGACTGCCCCACTGCTCTGCTTTCAACCACAGCTGTGCTGCCAAACCCGGCTCTGCCTCTGCCACCACCACAGGAGAGCACACACGGGATTCCTTGCAGCTGTACTGCTGCTGGTGCCTCGAGAAGGCTGGCCTAGAACAGAGGCTGGACAGAGTTACAGAATAAAGCAGGGATTTGCTAAAGGCCTCAATGGATCCACCTTGGGCAGCACAAGAGCCCAGCCAGGCCCACACCCAAGATGGACCCAGAACGGTCCCAGAATGGACGACCGCTCACAAGGTCTCTCACTTTGATCAGTTCTGGCCCATCTGCACCTTGGAGTGAATTGTCCAATTCCAGCTTTGGCTTATCAAGTCCCACCCTTCTTGTCTTTCTCTCTTCAGCCCACCATTGTTTGTGCTCTTGGGTCTGAGATTTGGATCATTTGTCTTTGGTCCCCAGCTAGAGAAGGAATTGTTTTGTCTGCCTGCTCTGTGAAGAGAGTTCTCCATCCCCTCATATGGAGCTCAGAACTACACACTAAAGCAGTACAGAGTCTGAAAAATGTAAAAGCTAAAACCTAAGGCATCCTCTAGATTACAGATGAACTTGGAAAGAATGTTAAAATCTCAAGTTTAATGCAAGCAGGAAACTTGCAACAACTATGGTTCTAGTGTGTTTTTATTACAGTGCT